GTGTCTGTCTGCCCGGTGCTGCATCGTGGCTTTCTCCATGCGCGCGCGCGAGAACGAAATGAGATTCATTGCCTATTGAAATATTCTTTATTGCCAATACACAAWGGAATATGAACATTTTCTACATTTCTGCCATTATTCTAGACTCTGGCGTTATTGTGTCTTCTCTTCTAAACTATTTAATATGCAAATTTCGTATTAACTATCGTAGAAGCAGGCGGTGAGAAGAGAGCCGAGTGCTTCAGTCTAGATAAGCCAACTTAGCCGGGTCGCATGATCGGTGCGGTCAAATTCGTGCTCTATGCTACAAAATAAACCGAGAAACTCGATTTGCTTTTTATGCGCCACTTTTTTGCGTTTGTGTGTGTGCGCTTGTGTTTGATCTTTTGTTGGCCACGGTGTTGGGGTGAAGAAAGTTTGAGTTTTAAATAGAATTTGTGCGCGAGTAAGCCGATTTAAATATGGTTGTGTCTGTATTGTCTGCGATTGTTGTTCTTCTTGCTGTTGTTAGGCGAAAAGAGAAATTTTCACATTTCATATTGTGTTGCCACTATTTCAACAGTAGTCTTAAATTTCTTCAGTGCAGAAATATTTGCATAAACGTGCGTCAGGCAGCTAATACTTATTGCATTAATCTTAAAATTGGCGTCCATTTGAACTGAGGGTATYTTATATGTGGAGTGTGGGAGAGATGTTTTTTCGGCGTTATATTTATTCGTAGTTAGTTATTCAATTGTTTGCTGAAGATGATATGCATCTCAAGTTCAATATTTTTCCAATATTGACAGTATGTATATATTACCTTATTCTTGATTCTACACAATTACATAAAGTTTAGTCATGTGTTCCCTAACCTATTCATGAGAGAAATAAGTGAGATAAATATATATTCTACAGCTATTATATATTAAAGAGAATAATTTATATAATATGAAAGCTTTAGGGAAAGTCTTGAATAAATTTCCTTGAATAATCGAATATATTTATATCGTACGGCATACATGATAGATAGGTGAACTTTGCTCATTAATTATGAGAGCAATAAAGAAATGAACAAACGCTCGATCAAAATAAATATCTTGGACATACTTTATCCTGAATTAAATACATGAAATTGCGTATTGAAACCTCTCCACATTCCATAATCCATTTCGATCGTTAACAGAAAACCCAGTAATGGAAAGCTGTGTAAGAAAAAATAATAATATAAACCACTGAAACACAAAATCTTCTGAAAATGTGCAGACTATCTTATTTCAAAGTCAAAATTGCAAATCGAACCTTAACATTTGTGTTGCTTCCGAGAGCTTGACTTACTTAACTTCAGTTTGCGATTTGAGGAATAAGAAATTGCATGCTTACAATAGGATACAAGTAAAATAGGGCAACCTGAAGAAAATATGAATGGCTAGCAATTGACGTTGAGTGGTCCCATATAATACATATTTCTTTTCCTATAGCTATAATTGTAGTTTTAATTAACTGAATTGTCATTAGTGACCACCATGTAAACATTTTAAAAGTTTTACATTATGTAAACCCATGCCAACTATCTATGTTGGGTCATAAATCCTTCAAACAGRCAACAGAATTTTAATAAATTACTACATGCATTTAATGGCGATAGTATTATAGAACTTAATTATTTAAGTGCTTTTATGCACGACTATAAAATTTAACGATTTTTCTACTCATTATGCTAAAATTTATTGCATAACTCAAGTCTATTGATTTCGTAAAAATTTGTATAAAAAARCTATATTAAAAACGGAAATTTTCTACAGCGATTTATCGTCACTAATGCATTTATTTCCACAGACGGAGTCACAGTCGGTTAATTAAGATTTAAAAATAGTCGCAGCTAATGTTGCAATCACTGGTGACGGCCATTGCGGACCTAGACTAACATAACAACACTTTGCCAGCGTCGTTTGTGTTTTACTTCAGCGATTTGTTTTATGATGTAKTTTTTTCCTTTGGTCTCGTAGGTACTTCTCTGGTGACATTTTCGATGTAATTAAGACGTGACAAATATCGCATGTGAGAAAATTGTTTGCATGTGCTATATGTAGATGGAGTATAACTGCGCACCACTTTAGTTTACCCAAAAATGCTCGTGCTTTTAGCCCGCAGTAATTTTTGCATGCAACCCATTGACAAAGTTTGCTCCTTTGATGTGACCATGTTTGCTATGTATCATTTGCGGTCTGTGTTTCATGTTGGCATTGCTGGTCAATTGTTATTTCCTCTCTTCKCTTTGCTGTCATCTACTGGCCTTTGGGCGATTTGGCGCAGTTGCTTCGTTGGTTTATTGCACTTTTTTCTACCTCGGTTGTGCTATTCGTGAAATTTGGTGGCATTTTTTGTTGTTTTGTCTATTACCTTCGATTTGGGTCAATTGCTTTTGCGCTAATTTATTACCGAACCACAGAAATTAACAAAAGGCTTTGAATATTTTTGCTAACCAAACGATTTGATATCAGCAATCTTTGGTTGCCGATTGCTTGTATGAATGCATGTGTGCTTGTATGTGTTGAGTGTTTTGTTTAATTCAAA